CAAAAGATAGTGTAATTGACTGTATAATGTATAAAATGTGTATCCTGATCCTGAATTGATAGAAATATTCTGTGTGTTCATGTACGTGTTCATCTACATTGTGTTCAGTAATACGTGGTCCCTTTGACTTATCGTCCATAACAGCCAGAAAAATTAATGTTACATGAATTTTGCCCCATCACCAAGACATGTTAGAACCAAAAGGAACCCCTTCACCATGCCGCCACCGTCAAGCTACCTGCTTTGGATCAAACTCTACGGGTTTCAGGAAGTCCCGCATCTTCATGTACGCACACAAGAACGCTTTGGGGTCCTTCGCAACCGAGTCATAGAATTCTTCTTTATCCGCTGGATTCATGGCGCCAAGAAACGGGGCCACAAACTAGCATAGCCGTCAGGGTTTTTCCGTTATGTAGTGTGTGCAAGCATGCAAGTGGTGTTAGAATAGAAATGGTTATTTGGTTATCACACCCAATGCTGATGGTGTTAAATTCATTAATTTGGACACAAGGGCAGGAAAAGTTTAGTTTGTAAGGTTTGTTACAAGTGATTTTGAAACGATCTTCCTCTTCTTTAACTTCAATCTTTGGCAAAACTCCTCTTGAAGGTAAAAGTTTTAGTTGAAACTTTGCTTGCCCATTGAAAAGTGCCATGCAGATGCAACTGTGAGTGAATGCAATATTGTCACAAGCAATTAGAGATGGCACCAGCAGATACATGTGCAATACACAGGTCTTCTCTAAAATGTGACATATGATATGTTAAAGTATTCTGACTGTGTGAGTGTACTATTGTATGTAAGTCAAACACAACTAAATCTAATGCTTTAAACTTATTCGTTGCAAAATTAGCAGGGCAACTAAATGATAAAAGTATAGGAGTTAGCTACAGAACAGTGTCGCTGGGGAGAGAAAGAAGAAAACTGAAATTACTAATAAAGTATGCTTCAGTGCCTCTTGGTACATGGTACATAGTAACATTATTTTTCTATGTATAATATTTCAACGATCATGTAATATGCAGATTATGCAGGATACCAGAATCATCGCAGACAGTAACTACTTGTGCACAGAAGATGGCAGCCACATGTAAATCCCAATCAACAGAGAGGTTGGCAAGCTCCACTTACATGTACATACTATTCCAAACTTTAAACACAGCAATACAATTACGATTATTATAAGACTCGGTGTTGATTTTCTACGAAACTGTAGGTTCCCCTGTCACAAGGAACTGTAATGTTGATGAAAAGGTAAGTCAAGTAACATTGATTCTCACCTTTTCTTCAAATCTTATGGGGTCATTTTCCACTGTTTCTGCAATGTTGGGCTGTGACAAAACATCAAAAATTGCATTTAATTTGTGACCACTTTGAACAAACATCAGTGCAGTCATTTAATATTGCAAGCAGAAATACACGTATTTGGTATTGCAAGCAAGAATACACAAGTGTGGGGTAATACAGTCTCCTAGACAGAATTGAATGACCATTGAACAATAGTGAAGTCACTAGGAGGAAGATCAGTGTGAATGTATATTCAGCACCAGGGACAGGACCAGTGTGAAGTCACTAGGAGGATAGTCAGTGTGAATGTAAGTTCAGCACCAGGGACAGGACCAGTGTGAAGTCACTAGGAGGATAGTCAGTGTGAATGTACATGTATATTCAGCACCAGTGACAGGACCAGTGTAAATGAGGATATAGTGTGAATATTTTGTGAATGAATACAAAAGGGATTTTGTATATGGTGAAAAAGGACCTGATCCAGGTCCAAGATAGCGTGTTGATGGTCCAACATGGGAACTTCCTCCTCAGCAGTGATGTTAGTCAGGGGCAGCCATGTCTGGTCCTGGTCTTCCCTGTGTTTCTCAAACGATGCCTCGTGATCCTCGGGATGTTGGAGAAGCGAGACAATGTCATCAGGCATCTTCTTCTCCCGCCGATGGTTGTTGATGTACATCTGGATAGATAACTGATCGCTGCTGTTAAGGACATTTCTCTCACCAGACATCACCTCTACACAATGTCCAACCCAAAAGTGAAGTTGTAACACAATTTGGCTAGCTAAAACAACAAAGGCTTTACAATCATATGATTGTAGAAAATTGTAGAAAATTGAAACAAAGTATTTCCAGCACTGTATGATCTTATGTGACGTTCAAGTTAAAGTTTTTGACATTCAGCACTCGTAAGTACTGCATGCTATCAATTAGAACAGATCTGGATTCTTAAAAAGTGTACATAACTAGTCTTGGAAAAATTTATTTTCCGCAGTGACATAATGATTACAGTAGTAACTATTTTCATAGGATATGAAAATTTCAATTAAAATATTGGACTGAAATGGTTTATTGACTGAGTTTCTAGTTTGACCAATCTGCTTTTATAACAGGGTGGTGCAACTATGATAAATGTCAGTAGGTAACAGAGAAAACAACATGTTATTAATATTCAAAATAGCGTAATAAGTATTAACTTCAGACAATTATCCCCACCCACGGAGTATGACTCAATAGGTACGTGTATTTAATATGTATTGAGTGTCTCATAATTGATACACAACATCTGCACTTACTCTAGTTCAGTACAGATGAAAATTTGTGAAAAAAAATTATAAAATAAAGGACTGAAATAGTTAAACAGTTTCTAGTTTGATTTATTTACTTTTTTAGTAGAGTGGTGCAGGTATAAATGTTAGTGGGTAACAAGGTAAACAACATGCCAAAATGTTATATGAATATTCAAACTAAGTAGTACTATTTACCTCAGACAATCAACCTCCACCCACAGAATATGATCATATTCTATAATATTTATGTCAGCATAGATGCACAGATTTTGACTTTTGTACACACTTCTTTCTCCATCGGACTTAATACAAATGCTTAAATATGTGCATGGAAACCTATGAGTAAACACATATATCATACATGCTACACTTGGTATCACAGATTCTTTATTGACATGCTGTGTTTCTCTCTACTGGGCATGTGCATGTGTAGGGGTGCTTAAGCTCTTAATGCCAATGCCCTTGTGAAACACCATATTATAAATAAATCATTGTTATGTTACATTTTGGATCAATATTGAAGACAGTTCAGACAATCAACACAACCACATAAGTAAGACCAATCTGAGCCTGTTTGTCACACTCCTTGCAAGAACAGCTGCCTAGCGCTCGTATCGTACGGGCGTAACTACATGTACATGACCATGCAAGAACTTCTTGGCCTCAAAAGTGACCAACTCAAGATTCTCACTATCTTGGAAGGAAAGATATGGTAAGGTAAGTCTACTGTTGGATTGCTTACCGGCTGTTTTTGTTTATACTGCAGAAATTTTGCAAAAAAAACAACAACAACAGGTTAGTGACTGTGGTTTTGCATGTTGAGAAATTCAGGGTGTGGTCAGGTGTGTCGATGAAGGTTAGACATCCAGGTAATACGATACGCCAAAAAGTAGTTACTCAAGCAACTGGATATGATTTTGAAAACGTCAGGGTATGGTCAGGTGTCCCTGCGTATCACAGTTTACCAAGTAGCAGCCTGCATCACTCAAGCTTGTGGAGTAAGTGTGCTGTGGGAGCACAAAAGTAGAGGTTCAAGTAACTACAAGACATGTCAATTTTTTTGACAAAAAAAGAGCTGAAAATGAAGTTGCTATAGAAGATCATAATCAATAAAAAAAGTATCCACAGACACACTGCAAAAATAGTTATTAGATGTCACTTTGTAAAGATTTCTTAAGTAATTTCAGGCTGATGATACAGAACGATGCAGATGGGGGTACTCAGGGAGTTATTAGAATTTTATCTCTCCAGTTTCTTTATAATATTACTGCTGCCTAGAATAAACTTGATATGGCCAAATTTGATACAGTAACTGTACATGTTCATTTCTTTAGGTGCAGAAAAATAGTATCTAAGGCCACACCAATTTAATTTGTTGGTTCTCAGATTTTTTCATCAAAAATTCAAAGCGACAAGCCAAAATAAAAAATAAAACAGGTCTAGGCATCCTATTATAGCCCCAAAGACACCTATAGGATACATGAAGTCAACACAAAAGGCAGAATTTTTTTTTTTTGAAAACCAGAAAAAAATGAAGAGGCGAATCTGAGAACCAACAAATTAAATTGGTGTGGCCTAAAGTAACAATCTCTTTCCAGAGTTGAGTTACCCTTCCAGATATGATAATATCTTAATATCTTAAGATTTTTGTCTGTAATAATATAGGTGGGTAACGAGGAGTAAACAACTTGCTCAATAGTTAATATTCAAATATTAGCTCCAGACAATTACATGTAACTCCATCATTGAGTA